TTCAAATTCAAATCTATTAGCTAAGTTTTCCAAAAGGTCAAGTGTTGGAACTTACCAAATTGAAAAAGTTTTGTATAAAAAGAAATAAAAAATTTTAGGAACTGTTTTGAGCTTTACTGAAACCATTTGTGTGGTAAATATCTCCAAATCTCTTAAAAATACTCAAAAATACTCAAAAATAATTAGATGTTTCCATTTATATTGCTATTTCGAACTCGAATAAATTTTTAGCTCGTTTGAAATCATCAGCTCGTCCCTCTGCAAAAGCTTACGAGATAAAGAAAAATATAAAGATTTTAATTAACCAGTTGAAACATGCTGTCATCATCATCAGTTAAAAAGCATCGCTTAAATTTTTTTTTACCTTTTTCACACTTCTGATTTAAAAGCAGTTTTTTCTTTGTAGCGCCTGCGTGTATGCTTCGATATTTTCAAACTGCCTAACTTGGCTGTTTTGTGAACATTTTAAAAACTTTTGAGTTTTGCTTGGGAAAATTTGCTATATCTAATCACAATAATGACTTCGTTATCCAACTTTGTTTTAGATTTTGTGCTTATTTTTTATGTTTCTCTAAGTTTTTTTTATATATTTTTTCTCAATTTCTAAAATCTTCGTTTTCAAATTGTGAATATAGACGCGCAGCTTCAGGTTTCACTCATTTAGAGCTACCCAGTTGCTCAGAGAACAGATTTTTTGAAGTAGTTCAGCGTGGCGCCTGTGCATATGCTTCAATATATTCGTTTCTATGAATTTCTCTGAAGTTGAATGCTGATCTTCAGGAGTCACTTCATCAGAGTTGCTTATTTGCATAAGGCATCCGCTATTTAAAGTATCTCAACGTGGCCCCTGCGCATATGCTTCGTTTTTTTTTATTTCTATACAAAAAACGTACTTTTTACTTACCTTTATTCTTAAATTCAATTTCATTAAGGAGCTGTGAAGCTGCACTTTTACATAGAAACTTTTTTTAATCAACCAATCTGTGTAATTAATACAGTTAATCAACATATGTTTACCTGTCAAAACATGCTGTTAATTTAGAGATTTTTTTTTAAWTTTTTTAAATGAACTTTAAATAAAATCAGTAATCGGCTAAAATTTCATTTTAAATAAAAACACCATTGTTTATAATTTTCATTTGATAGTTATGGCATTTATTCATACTAATTGCTAGATCCCCCGCCCAACACACATTTGTTGCTTTGTGCGCTGCGGCAATATTTTACATATGCTCATAGTGTTTAATTGTTGTATGCACTATTATTTAGTTATAAATTTAGCCTTTCGCATGAAAAGGCAATTATCAAATATACGCTTACCAATACATGCATACGTACACACATACAATTTACACATATATAATTATTATATAAATTTCTTTTTTTTTCTCTCATATATATTAATTTTAAAGTAGTTTTTTAGTTTTTAGGAAGATAGCACTAGAATAACAACACTATATCACTAAATTTAATTTGTATACACTAAATATATATATTGTGTGTGTATGTGTCGGTGTAGCATGTGTTTAAGTTGCTTGTATGTGTGTTTCTATACAAATTGCTGCCAACTCGAATGCTTAGTCTAAGCGTAAAGGTACTTATTATTACATTATTTTGCGCTCTGCTTGCAAGCGTAAATCATATAACGGTTTATATATATATATATATATATACATATATATATATATACATACACACATAAGTTGTAATTAAACGGAAGTACATTGTAAAAATATTAGTAATTAAAATAATAAAGCGAATAATTTACAGTCACACAGCAACCAAGCTTAAATGTTTACAAACTAATATAACTAATACTACTGAACTTATGGCGAGACAGTTTGAAATGCATTCAAAATATTAAATACCGAAATATTATTTGTGTGTATATGAATTTAGACTAGCCGCGTTGCATAAAGTGGTCATAAAATACGGTAGTTATTCGCGGCTTTTTTTGCGTATATTTGTAGGCCTTTTGAAATAAATTTCGAAATTTACATTATTTGCCATTAGATATAATTTTTGCATAGTTAAATACTACATAATATTGCTATTATTACACATTTACACACATACAAGTATATTTTTTTTAATTTGTGGTATATTTACTTAGTATTATATTCTTCATATAGATATATATGTATGTCCATTTTTTATATACATCGGTAGTCATTTACACAAAGTGTGCAATGTGCTTTTTAATGTATGTATACAGTTATGTACATGAGCCTTCTCTCAACTTTTGTCCATCTGGCGGTATTGCAATAAAATATTTTGTCGTAAAAAATTTCTCGCATGTTATGATAAACTATAATATATGCATACTACTTAAAGGTTTTATTTTTCTGGCGCATTTCAAAAAAATTTTATAAAAAATTTATTAAAAATTGCATATAGCATGAAGTTTGAATGACAGCACATTTCTATGTTCTTTTATAATTTTTGAAGCAATTTCGTGCTGAAAGTAATAAAGCAGATAAAATGAAATAACTTCAGCTTGAAATTTTCTCACATTCAATTAAAGTTAAAAAAAAATTAAGATGATTCTTAGTATTAAAAGTTGACTTAAAATAAAAAATCGATTTCTCACTTCGAGTTATTTCAACTAGTTCGACTTCAAATTTTCACGCATGCAATAAGAATTTTGAAATACATTTTTTTAAGAAAAATATAATTTTAGAAGTTTAATTCCAATTGTTTTAAAATGTTCGATTGGAAAATTTCTCGCATGCAGTAAAAAATTGCAAACACATTTCTATAAAAAAATTTTAATTCTTTTAAACAAATTCGATTTTAAATTATCTCGCATGAAATAAAAAATTTCAGAAAATTTTTTTATTTAATCTTAAATTTTAGAAGTTCTTTTAAATTAAAAGAGAAAAAATATCGATTTAAAAATATCTCACCTCAAGTTAACGAAATAAGTTCGAATCGAAATTTTATCGTCTGTTATCAAAGTTACAAAAAACAAAACAATTTTAGTATTTTTTATGAAAACTCAATTTCATGCATGCAATAAAAAATTATTTTTAAGAAAAATCCTAATAATTAGACTTTCACTTAAGATTCTTTTAAAAAAATCGGGTTTAAATTTTCTCGCATGCAATAAAAACGTCACAAAAAATATTTTTAAGAAGAATTTTAAAAGTGTAGATGTGCACTTCCAATTCTTTCAAATAATTTGCCATTTAGTAACCATGTAAAATCTAAAATTTGTTTTAATTATTGTTTTTTTTAGGCCAGGTTCCTACACACTAACAGCCGAGAGTTGATGTACAAGATCTTGAACAAAATTTGTACCAAGCAATACAAATAACTTTTTCATATATGTACATATTAAACATAAATAAATATATATTTATATATATATACATATATGTATGTAGATACCAAATCTATTTTTCCGTATCATTTTTTATCCCCCCTTTACCATGCTATCACGTAATTTTCAGTATACACAAATATTCTTATAAATCTTACCTAAATCATAGCTTTTTCTATTTACAAAAAAGTTTATTAATTCAAAATTCACTAACTTTAATTTTAGAATTACTCTTAAAGGAAAAACACGCACACAATTTAAATTCCTTACTTTAACATTGAACATATTTATTTCACATAAATTTCAATACAATTTATTTTTACCATTTTTTTATTYCGCGTTTTCTCGCTTATTTTTCTTTGCTTGGAAGCATATTTCATATAAATATGTTTTTCCATATTCTTATGACACCTTAGAAAATCTGTGAGTGTTTTACAAAAAATTATAATTACTAATTTTATATATTTTCAAATTTACTTTTATTTTTATATTTTAGTACATTTCTCTTATGCAATTTTCACATCAATAACAGCCTATCTTACAGTGTGCAGCCTGCAATGAGTTTCACCATGAAATCCGCATTGTCAACCTGTGTACCTTATGTGTATATGTGTGCGTGCATGTGTTCGTATTTCTCTGGCAGTGCTAGTGTTCATTTATCTACCCGCTAATATATTATTTAGCATGTATATGCATATGTATGTAGTTGTTTGTGTGTTAGTTTACTTTTTTATTACGACTACAACAACAATCACTTGCAGTTTGCTTTATATAATATAGATTGGCGAAAATTATTTCTTACTTTAAACTCTTTTGCTGATGAAATCATTTTGCAGCCAGCATTCTAATTACAGTTATATTATAGAATCAGTCTTTAAACGCATGTGAAGCGTTGCGAAGAAAAATTATGAGCGAAACAACAGTTTCGCTGAGGCCTATTAGTGACCTGCTTGCTTAAATCTAATTAAATTCAAAAAAGTAGAAAAATATGCACACAAATAAAAGTATCGGGTTTAGTAACGAAATTCGAAAAGAAATTTTAGAAAAATGTTGCGCAACATTTTGCATAAACATTGTTGCGCAACAATGTTGCCAGACGCAAAAAATTATTTTGGCGCTAAATGTTAAACATCTTTGAAATTTTATAAAATCTGGCGTAAATTTTCAATTTCAAATGTTGCTAGCAACATGTTGCTGATATAAAAAGTAGGTAAAAGTAGTTTTTATGGCAGAATTATTTTACAGAAAACATGTCTCTGTTAACGTTCCATAAAATAATTTTGATTTTTTCGGCTTAAATAAAAAAAAAAAATTTTTAATAGAAACCTCAAATTCTTAATTAATTTATTTTCTATTCTATCATAAAATAATTAGTTGAGAAAAATTAAAGAAAAATTTCTACCAGTACTACGAACACCTTAGACCTTACGCCACCCATATACAGACACCGACTATATACATGCCCCTCCGAACGCCCCTCAATCAATTCACTCACTCGACTCCAACTGGCCTTTGTTCACACGCTCACACCACGCCAACAACTCCTGCACCTCGCGTGTGTAGTAATCCACCTGAGCAGCCTCATCGCACGCACTGCCTTCATCTAACCCCGCGTAACTCATCAAATCCATTCCACCTTTCGTTACACCCATACCGGTGCCTTTACCCATGCCACATGTCACGCTAACGCACTGCGTTACCGGTCACACCAGCGGCCCTTGCGGATGAGCCGACATGCTGCCACCGCTGCCACTGCCACAACCGCTGCCGCTGCTGCTCAACAAGCTACGTTCACTTGCCACACTGCTGGGCGCATAAATCAAGTCACAATCACCGCCTTGCAACATCTTATGTTGTTGTTGCTGACGTTCTTCCGCACTCTCCGAACACGAACTCAGCGAACTGCTGCCACCAATGCTACTGGTGTTGCTCTTGGCGGCGCTGCTGCTGCTGCTGGTCATCATCAGGTTAGTGCTGCCGCTGCCGGCGCGATACGCGGCGCGCACGAATGGCTGTTGTGTTTGTTGTTGCTGCTGTTGTTGACTTGTTGTGCGCCAACTGTTGCCGCTGTTGTTGGCGCTGAGTGTGATGGCCACGCTGGGATGCACTTGATTTGAGGGCGTTAAAGGCAGTAGGTGTTGCTGTTGTTGCTGCTGTTGCTTATGCTGCTGCTGATGCTGCTGCGGCTGTTGTTCGTCCACCTTCACATACAGACGCTCCATGTCGCCATCCAAGTCACCGTCTGCCGTGTGGTACAGTGCCTGTTCGTCCTCGTGTGACATCAGCATGGCCATGGGTGAGGGTGAGCCACCGCAACCGGAGTCGGCGAGGCCATTGTAACAGAATGAGCCGGCATCTAAATCCAGCAAATTTTTCGACAAATCTGTGGTGCCGTTATCATGGCCAACGCCATTGCCATTGTGGTTATTGTTGTTGTTCAAAGCATTCATTTTCTGCACTTGCTGCTTCTCAATGCTCAAGTTGGGCTGTTGCTGGTGTTGTTGCTGCTGCATGATAACCTTAAAGCGTCCACTGCCGGCACCGGTGCCATGTTGCCGGCGCAACGTGCCAACACCGTTAAATTGCTGCTGCATAGGTTGTAGCTGCAGTTGCTGTTGTTGTTGTTGTCGGTGTTGCTCACCAGCCGTGTCGTAGGTGTGACAGCCGCTCAACTTGTTCTCCGTGATATGTATCTTCTCCTTGGCATAGTAATATTGCTCCGAATAGGCGGACCGATTACTCGAGTTGCTCGGATATGTTTCGCTGGCCACCGACATCGGCTGGTAAATATTGCCCAAAGAGTGTTGTTGTTGTTGTTGTTGTTGTTGCTGCTGCTGCTGATAGTGTGGATGCATGGGTCTTTGATGTGGCTGGAGGAACTGTTGCTGTTGTTGTTGCTGCTGCTGCAGTTGTTGTTGTTGCATGCGGAAATCGCCTGGCCGTTGCTGATAACGCGGCTGCTGTTGTTGTTGCTGCTGGTGTTGACCGCCGCCATTCAATATGGCCGATGTAGCGTAGGGCGCTGGCGAGCTGGTCTCGTGTCGTTGCGTGCCACCGCAGCCATACTCGCTGGCCGCTTTGCCGAAACTGGACACTTCCGCGTAGTCAGTGGGTATATTCGAGTATTCGCCGACATATCTGCAACGGCAAAGATAACAAAAATATAGAATAGAGCATGCACGAAAATTCCAAAAACAAAAACAACAACATTTATGAAGGCGAGGTATATAAATGGCGGTTATGAATTGCCGAAAGCTGGCACAAGCTAAAATAAAACATAGCCCGCTTATAGGCTTTGAATTTGCCGGCAAGTGGGGCAGTGTGTGCCGGAAAAATATTCAAAATTTCACTGATTTCCTTTTTCCAATGAAATCATAATTTTAACGCTTTTTACTGGATTTCAAAGCGATTTGCAGGCGCGCGTAGCTGCTTCTCACACACACACCCACACAGCTGATAACAGCCAAATACTCAGCGCATGCACGCGTATATTTATGATGGGTTACGGTATTAGCGCTTAATACGTCGAAATGCGGCAAATGGTCAGCGTCAGATAGGAATTTGAATGCGCTTTTGCCTACATTCAGCTGAGCGCGCGCAAAAAAACTTCTTTATATGAAGCGCTAAGCTTCGTATAAGTAAAGCCCTCGCAATAAATTTCAAATAAATGTATTTAAGCCGCGACTCAGCGTAAGGCTTAAAAATATTTTGTAAAAATATGGCAAAATTAAACAAAAAAATATATTAAAAAATTCACTCATTTGTGAATGTCTGCCGTCATGGTTACAGCTTTGCTAAAAGTGAGGTGAGCATTACAATAAACCCGTGCTATGCATGCGCCTAAGCTGCTCTTGTAATTTTTTTGCTGAGCGGACTAAATATTTTAGAAATAGAGCGGCTTATAGACCTTTTAAAAATTTTAAATTTTCGAAAATAAAGTTAGGTTAGGTAGAAGTGATTTGACTTAGTGAAAATATTTTCAACTATTTATTAATTTTGACCTAAAAATTACTCAAAAAGGGTCAAGAATATGATGACTACATAAATTTTTTTATGCTTTCTGCTCAAAATTTTTCAAAAATTCGACTTTTTACATCTTGGTTGTTTTACTTCCTCAAGTTTACTTAAACTAAGTTGAAAGTCTCTAGTTCACACGGTATGATATACTGGAAAAGGTATCGATAGTGAGGCCGCAGAGTCTGTTAAAATGCACGTCAAGCGTCGGCATTTTAAATAATGACTACTCCTCTTGGACTTAGCAACCGAACTTCATCTGTTAACGCAAAGAACCAAACTGGTCTATGCGTAGCTTATTGACCTACCGGATTTGAAAGTTTAAAAAATTGTGTCCTCTTTTATAGCTCGCTTGCGCACTTTACTTTGTACTGCCATACAAACTGAACGATCGGAACCAACTACTTGCATGAAAACTTTTTTATTTCAAGAGATATATTCAGGAAATTTGGCATGGATTATCTTTCAAAGAACATATGTAATCCACCAAGAAATTGTTTAGATCGCACCAATATAGCATATAGCTGACATATAAGCTGAGCAATCGGAATCACTTGGTTGTATGGAAAATTTTTTAATTTGAAGAGAAATCGTCACGAAATTTGACATGAATCATTATATACGGCATTTACGCAATCTTGCAAAAATAGTTCAGATCAAGTAGCTATAGTTTTTATAAGTAACATTTTGTATTTATGTAGGGCATTGGAGTTGCGTTGCAGCTAAAGTTAACATTTTTTCTTGTCAAGTATATTTTCTTCAGAATTTTTAGTTTGGACCGAAAAATTATATGTATTTATGAAACGATGACTTACAGATACATTGACATTCAAAACCAAAAAAAAAAAAATTCTTGTACACCATGTATTTAGATAATGTCTATAGAATAGTGAGTGTATAGTATGTGTTGTTTTCAAGCTCAAGAAAGGATACAAAAGCTGTG